TGCTAACGCTACTACTACTCCTGCAGCGCTCCTCCAGAGTGCTGCTGCCGAATCCTGACGACTACCTCCTGCCTCCTGAACTGCACGTGAAGTGCCTGGGAAGTACCTAGGAACTACCTGCCTCCTGCAGGGCGCGCCAGTCTTACATAGTGCTGGCCCGTCCAGGAGGCTGCTCTTTCCAATGCCAAAACGTGTCAGACCCTGGGGTTGAAGCTCAAACAAAGGTTGTCTTGAAAATACGCCAAAACTGGCCTGAGCTAAAACCCTGGTCTGGTGCCTGAGTTTCAGGGCAGGTCGAACTGATGAGGGCCTGAAAATGGCCCTCAGTTTCAGGCTGAAAATACTCAGGGCCAGAAAGGCCCTGATTTAGCCTGAAACGACACAGGGCCTGTAGGCCCTTGTTTTCAGGCTTTCAGGCTGAAACGACACGGGGCCTGTAGGCCCTTGTTTTCAGGCTTTCAGGCTGAAAACAACACGGGGCCTGTAGGCCCTTGTTTTCAGGCTTTCAGGCTGAAAACAACACGGGCCTGAAAATGGCCGTGCAGCCTGTTGCAGGTGCAGCATGTAACACCCCCCCCTCCTTATGAAGTCAAGCCGGGTCGAGGGTGAAGCTGACGATCTGAAGGTGTAACCTGGACGTGGGTGCGACGTGGAGCCGAAGATACCGGCTTGCCTTGCATCTTGCATTCGGGGTGCAGTACGCAAAGTGTACCAAGTAGGCGAGCCGAACTTGGCTTGAGGGACGAACCCCATCATTTGATGAGTGCCAACCAAAAATCGAACATAAACCGAGTGCTGGGGTTGCAGGCGATTTCCTTGGGGTAACCCTTGGTTCGAATCCAACCGGCGTAAAGAACATCGGCCAATTCCTGTGCCTTGGCATGATAGCGGCAGGGCAAAAACATTCAGAACTTGGTGAGTCGGTTGACCACCGTAACAACTCGCCGTACGCACGATGGTTGCGGGGTTTGCAGCGTCGGCAAACCTCGCATGACTCACAATAGCGTGTGACGTCGCCTAGAAGGCCGGGCCACCAAAAGCGCTCGCGAAGTTGATGCACAATTGTAGATCCTTGTTCTTCTTCCGTACGAAGAGAACTGGCGCTCCATATGGAGAGCTACTAGGGCGGATCCAGCCCTTGTCCAACAAGTCATCGAGTTGCGCACGGAGGACTGTAAGCTCCTCCTCGCACATGCGATAAATGCAACCTTTTGGTGGCACAGCACCGACCTCAAGAATGATCTCGTGAGAGATCGCCCGATCCGGCACCACCCCGGTAGGTGACTCGAAGATGTCGGCGAACTCATCCAGCAACCGCACCACATGGGGGTCCGAAGACAAGTCCGTGAGTGAAGAGTCGACTACCGCAACAGTCCGTAGGAAGCATAGGCCGATTTCGTCGGGCTGCTCGTAAGCACAAGTAGTCCGGAATGATTTGGCCGTCACCACTTGCCACCGAATCGAAGGGTGCGGAAGAGGAATAGTACACGGTACTTCGGCGCCGAAAGCGTCGCGAACGGTAAGAGTCCGCAGGTGGAAGTTGACCGTGTGATCCGCACTTGCAAGCCAAGGCATTCCCAAAATAATGTCTAAAGTCCGTGTCCAAAATGTCGAACGTCACCGGTTCACATGCATGAGGTGCAAAATACACTAGTACGGCCTTGATGTAGCGGTCGATAAGTTGCTGCGTCCTTTCGTCCGCCAACTTGATGGACATCAGGTTTGCCTTCCTTCGAACTTGTGCGCCAAGGCCAGCCTTTTGCATAAAGGCCTGGCTCATAAAATTGCGAGATATGCCGCTATCCAGCAAAGCGTTGCATAACGCTTGCCCAACTTGGATGCGGACATAGAGGAGCGGTGCGTTGTTGTCATCACACCGCTGCTTGCGAAACTCGTGGGCCACCTTGGTAACATACGCAAGGATGTCCCCCACCACGACTTCGTCATCCGTCGGCGAAGTTGGTGGTGCATAGAAGGATAAGTATGTGTGAAGATGAGCGCATAATGTTGCACATTGCGGTCCCGGCAAGCGGTCTGTGGTCGGGAGAGGAAGCCATGTGAAATCCTCGGACGTGAGCAGGTCCAATACCTCTATGTTGAACTCGCGCGCCGAATCCTGTGAAGAACCACTTGAAGACGATAAGTTGTTGTTGTCGGACGCAAAAGATGCCGCACACAGGTCTTGTCCTTAAGCAAGAGTACCCAGCGTAGGAATGAGTCGGGCAGAATAATCCTCAAAAGAATAAAGAAGAGGAGGACTATCCACTTCCGCATGTGCCTCGGAACGAAGGGCGGTCACCCGCGAAGTGACCGGTTCCGAAGGCATCGAGAGTGTCGTCGAGTCACTCCCGGAGGTGCTCATTTTCGCGATTTGCCCTTGCCTTTCGACTGGCAGGCCATTGTGTCATGGAGATCGTTGTTACACCACAGACAATAGCGGAATCTCGTGCGTGCCTTGTATGCTTGCCCGGAGAGACCGTAATGGGACCATGGGGCTGGAGCTGCTGCGTCGGGCTCGGGGCTAGATGCGGTGTTTGTCTTCGCCTTGCCGCATCCTCTGCCTTTACCGGGGCGGCCACCTTCCCAGGCGGCTGCGAGTCTGTCCCCTTCATTGGCAAACACGGCCTCGCTAGTTTGGTCGTTTGGTGATGCCGCCGCGACCACGGCCACTTTCGGTCGATGCTAATCTCTGCTCAGGCCTGGCGCAGACGAACACAGGGAGATTCTTGGCCTCCTTGTTCGCGACAATAATTTGCGCGGCCTTATCGAAGAGTTGTGCCGGTGTCGTCAGGGTGTCCTCGACGTGAGTCAAGGCATTGCCCAACGTCGGACACGACCTCGAGATGAAGTAGTGTTTGATGGCTTAGAAACCCATTTGAATGTCTGGGAGGGATGTCAAGCGTTGGTACTCGGCAATCCAATCAACACTCGGCAGGCCTTGTTCGAAGACCATCAGCTTGTCCATTGCCTTGATCTCCGGCGCCTCTACTTGGAACCGCTTATGCCACGCCGCCTTTAGATCATCCCAGCTGATCTTGGTATGCAAGTCGGCAGCTACCACTCCGTACTTGGACAAGAGATTGTCCAACCATGCTTGGCACGCGCCCCCTACCGGGAGTATAAGTACCCGTGGTGCTTGTGTCCTTCGACGTAGTGTACCTGCAATGTGAGCTCGAACTTGCAGAACCATGGAATCGGGTTTGTCTTCGTCGAGTCGCAGAAGATCTCCTGCCTGTCGAACTTTGGAGTTGTCTCACGCGGTTCCGAGCTCGAGTGGTTGGCGGTAGTATAGATCCACTGCTCCGACTGTTGCGTTGCGGTTTGCTGTAACTGCACGTCGTCCTTCAAGGAGCCGGCGTCAATCTCCAATGCCTCGAAGCGATCGGAGGTGTTGGAAGAGCTGGCATCGGGGGCGGCGGCAGGTCGCTGCTCCAGCTGCTGGAGGCGGCCGTGGACTTATTCGACGCGTCGTCGAGGTTGTGGATGTCCTCCTGTTGTGGAATGCATGTTGTCAGGAGGTCCGTGAGATGGGAGATGAGTAGAGTGATCTTGTTTTCACTGTCTTCCATCTTGCCATTCTCGGCCTCGGCCCGCCAATCCGCTTTCATTGTGAGCAAAGCTTGCTCTCCACTGAACATTTTCTTGCGACGTTGGACTCGTTCTTCACCGGCAACCTTTGTTGTTGCCTCGTCATGCTGGCGCTGCTGTTCAATTGCCAACAGACGAGCCTTCTCAGCATCCTTTGCCTTTTGCTTCGCTGCGGCTGCTACTGCATCCGACCGTTGCTTAGTTTCGGTAATCAAAACCAGCATCCGGGCCTAATAATCCTCGTCCGTTTCCCCAGACATCTGGTCCATGACGGCTGTTTTCGAGTGCATAAGCATAGATCAAGTTGGGGCCTGCTGACGTGGCACTCCCTGCTGCTGACGTGGCTATTGACGTGTCCTGCTGACGTGGCCTGCTGACGTGGTCTACTGCAACTTACCAATGGCGCCGTGAGGGGTACCCGAAGACAGATAGAGAAGGTAAGGCGAGAGGGGGCAACAACATAGGTGGGGAGGGGTGGGTGGGGATAAATCGCCCAGATAAGGAGCCACTAATCAAAAAAGAAAAGTTTGAACTTTGCAAAAAAAAATTTCGAGAAAATAAAAGTCCTGAGTTTTGCAAGTTCAGTAGGTCTCCCAACCTCCCTTGAAGTGCGAAATTATCAATGAGAAATTTTTTTTGAGATTCAGACTGCCAATGATTATCAGGTAGTGAAAATCATAGAGCTGCGAAATAAGAAAAAAATCCGAAAAGAAAGAACAAGTATTCAGACTTACTCAGATGAGAGTATTCGCAGTTTGGAAAATGGTACTGCAAGAGGGATTTCCCGTACCGTTTTCAGAAAAACGAATTTCAAAAAAAAAATATTCTGAATTTCCAAATAACGGGAAATTGCAAAAGGAAATCGAAATTTTTGAGAAAAAGATATTCCGGATTTCCAACAACGAAATTTCGGATTTTCAGAAAAAAATGAAAACGGAAATTTCAGATGTTCCGCTATTGCAATTTTCCACAACAGATATACCAGGAAAACAAAATCCAAGGAAAAAAAAAAAAAAAAAGATTTTCGGCAGTGAGGTCAAAATCGTGATTTGGGGGGCTAACTAGTGTGCTCTAATCAATCAATCAAAACTAATCAGCTACCTAGTCCCCTCACACGTGTCAGATCAGGTTGTCCTGATTTACGTGCGGTGTTCCGATACCAACTGTTACACGCCCAGTTGGGCGATGTACATCTAAACCAAGGATCCGCAATGTGATGAAAAGGACTGAATGGACAATGCAGTGCAAGTAGAATTTCAACAAGCAGTGTACATCCTGATACATACAAAATGGTGTTTTATAGCGCAAAGGAAGATTTAGATACATGTCCTGACCTGACTGGGACTAACCTCTTTCACTTAGTACAAGAAAGCGAAGGAGAATGCTAGAACACTAATGACTAGCCCCAATCAATGTGTCAACGCAGACCAAACATACAATATGCTCATCACAAGGTGTCAAGGGGCTTGGCGCTATACACAGGAAAGAGGCGCCAAGCCCAGACATACACAGACGAAGAGGAGGGGGGATCAGACGAAGAGGAGGAAGGGGGAGATGGGAAAGTCGTCAATACCAATTCTCGTTACAAGTCCCAAATATCCCTCTTCAAAATGTCTGAAGTCCAATGGCGAGTCTGGATCCAAATGTCACCAAGCTCTCTCTCTCTCTATCTCTCTATCTCTCTATCTCTCTCTCTCTCTCTCTCTCGTAGTCTGCTGATGCAGTGAAGTCAGATAGCGAGAGGGTGAGAAGGAGATGGTGGACTGAGAAGAGGAAGAAGAACTCTCTCTTTCTCATGTGCCAGGTACTAACCTGTGAAGATGGCGTTGTGTTGCAGGTACCTCAAAGACGAAGCTGGAGCAATGGCGCTGCAGGTAAGTCTCTCTAGCCTCCGCCCAATCTCTCTCTCTATAGTACTACTCTAGCTGCTATGGCGACCGGCGCTGAAGACTACAGCTAACACTACTAGCGCCCAGCGCTGAAGACTAATGCTAACGCTACTAATACTCCTGCAGCGCTCCTCCAGAGTGTTGCTGCCAAATCCTGAAGACTACCTCCTGCCTCCTGAACTGCACGTGAAGTGCCTGGGAATTACCTAGGAACAACCTGCCTCCTGCAGGGCAGGCCAGTCTTATATAGTGTTGGCCCGTCTAGGAGGCTGCTCTTGCCAATGCCAAAACCTGCCAGACCCTGGGGTTGAAGCTCAAACAAAGGTTGTCTTGAAAATACGCCAAAAATGGCCTGAGCTAAAACCCTGGTCTGGTGCCTGAGTTTCAGGGCAGGTCGAACTGATGAGGGTCTGAAAATGGCCCTCAGTTTCACGCTGAAAATACTCAGGGTCCGAAAGGCCCTGATTTAGCCTGAAACGACACAGGGCCTGTAGGCCCTTGTTTTCAGGCTTTCAGGCTGAAACGACACGGGGCCTGTAGACCCTTGTTTTCAGGCTTTCAGGCTGAAAAAAACAACACGGGGCCTGTAGGTCCTTGTTTTCAGGCTTTCAGGCTAAAAACAACACAGGCCTGAAAATGCTTCGTGCAGCCTGTTGCAGGCGCAGCATGTAACAGATACCTTCTCAGATGCTCCATCTTAATTAGTAGATGTTGATCTATATACCTTCTCAGATAACTTCTATCACATATATGTACAAGCAGAGAACATGCATGAAGGCAAGGTGCGAGGATTTGTACCCTCGGCATACCTACATATGGCCCCTATAAGCAAGCATGTGCCGGCCCTAAGTGAAGGCGGGCCCCCGAACCTCGATGAGGCCATAATTCGTCAATGTTGCAAAGCCTCGATGTACGCCAGACAGTTACCATGTGCCAGTTGGTTACATCCGCCCTGCTCACGAGAATCATAAATATTTGTGAGCCTTCTAGGCTCTTCCAGCAATGCAAGGGAAGCAGGGAACACCGCACGTTTGTGCCTGGGTGGTTGGCCATGACTAACCAACTCGGTCCCAGGCCACTATCTGAATGGGTCTGCGCGCAGACACTTCGGGCCAACCTGAAACTACTGGGCACAAGCGAGGCCACGCCAGGGAGCCAACAAGCCAGGCCACTTTGCATATAGCGAAGTGTCTGGCCGAGCATCAGGCATTCGGGCACTTGCGAGTGCATGCGGCAACACTGTTGGAGCGATTGCTCGCGCTTGGCGGCTCGCTCCGCTGGTGCCTGGGCGCGCGCAGGCACAGGGAGAAGAAGGGTGTTGCAAGAAGGCAGCGCCATAGCCTAGCCTTCACAGCCAGGCAGCGGGGATTGGCGGTGGTCCTTGGAAGGCGGTACGAGGGAAGAAGAAGACGGGGGTGAGCCTGTTAAGGGTGAGTGGGGAGTGATGTGAGAGCACGTAACCGGTCTTGGCGGAGGTCTGCATAGTTGACATCTGCATGTACTTTGGTTGCTGCTGTTGACGCCACCTGGTTGCTTTGTCATTTCGCAGGCTAGTTCGTAGTTGTAGGATTGTAGTCTGGGCGCTGAGCGCCAGTAGGGAGGAAGAGCTTCGAGTACATTGTTGGTGGTGGCGAGCGAGGGCTCTCATCAACAAATGAATCCGCTGCTTTCATTCTCCTTCAGTGTGATTTCAGTGCATTTCTGCTTTCTGGACAGCTTACGACTATCTGTCTTGCAATATGATCTTGCAATCTGGAATTCAGGCATTTCGCTATTGCTCATTTTCCTTGAAATTTGGTATCGGAGCTGGTTCAAGCCGCTCCGCTGGCTCAAGTCTGAGTTTGGGGCACCAGTCTGAGTTTGGAAACAGTTAGAGACCCTGACCAGCAAGGGCTGGATCAGGCCCAGCACATCTGAGTTTGCGGCACCAGTCCTCTTTGTTCCACAGGGGAATGGTGAGTTCAGGATGTGCGTGGACTATCGTGGTTTCAACAAAATTACGAGAAGTCTATAGAGCCCCTTCCTCGCATTGATGATCTGTTGGATATGGTGCAGGGTTGTACCATTTTTAGCAAGATCGACCTCAAATCTGGCTATCACCAGATTGAGATGGTTGAAGGCGATGTCCACAAGACAGCCTTCAAAACCAAGTATGGTACTTATGAGCACCTGGTTATGCCATTCGGTCT